GCCTCCCCCTCGGAGCACAAACCAAGGGCCTTGGGGTCTGCAGGGATCATTTTCCACTCGTGAACACCCAATCGTGGCATGGTTGGGGCTGGAAGGGACCTTGAGACCATCTCGTTCCATTCCCTGCCACGGGCAGGGACACATTCCACTGGCCCAGGCTGCTCCAAACCCCCTCCAGCCTGGCCTGGGACACGTCGGGTCAGCTCCTGGGGAGCTGTGACAGGCAGGGGACAAAACGAGGTGACAATGATGGGGGAGAAGGGCACAGACCCCTCTCCAGGCCAGCGTTTGGGATGATGCTCTCCTGTGCACCTGGCACGTCCCCAAATTGTCCTGTACTGACACTGAGCTCTGCCAGGGTCCTTTGGGGGTGGCCTTGCCCTTGTCACCTGGAACCCGGGTTCCTCTTGCTCCTGTCCTCACCCAGTCTGGGGCTGTGGGTGAGACCCTGCAGGGGGCTGAGGATCCAGAAGGTGACTTGGATCCTCCTGCAATAGGAGAGAGGGGATTGACCAGGAGCACTCAACCCCAGCCCTGTGTCCTGCAGCTCCTGGGCCTGGCTGAGGGTGACAAAGCTGTGGCAGGGTGGCACCTTGGCACCCACTGCCAGCGCTCTGTGCACTGGGAGCACCCACAGCCTTTGTCAGCCAGAGGAATTGATCTCTCCTAGGTGTTACAGTGGAAGAATAGGAACACGACCATTATCCTCGGAGAAAACCCCTGCTCCTCTTGCCACTGCAAAGAGAGATCCCCATTCCCCTCTCCTGGAGGATTCGGTGGGATCCAGTTTGGAAAGGGGCAAATCAGCAGCTCAAGGAGCCATGGGGTTCCAGAACATTCCTTATTGCCCATTACTGGTTCACGGATTATTATTTACTGTCACTTTGGATTAGCACAGGAGAAACCTTTGCAAAAATCTGACATAAAGTCAAAACCTGGTGCTTAGAATCCCACTTTTAAGGGAATTTTCATTGAGCTGAGGATTTCAGCCCCCTCAGGCTGTTATCCCAATGAACAGGAGCACTGGGATCACCTCTCCCTGATTGCAGGGATGCTCCCGGTGCAGGAGATGTTTCCTCACTGGCAGGAGGATTCCCACCCCGGATTACAGATGCACCAAATCCCCGTCACGTTTTCACGTGTGCTTGCTGTGGCTTTGGGGAAATTTCCGCCGCCCCTTTCTCCCCGCTGGGATGGGTTTGGGGCTGGGAGAGGGATGGAAATGGAGCCGGGCTCTCCTCACCGAGAGGCGAGGTGTGAAATTTCTCATGGGCAAACAAGTGAGAGCTGCGGGGTGCCCAGAAGAAGGGGGACAGAAAAGATGAAGCGGGGAGGGGGGGGAAGAGAGAAAGCAGCAGCCAGGGAGGAACAAAAATCCCTAAAGCACCAACCTGGATTGAAGAGTGGGGCGTTTTCTATGGGGGGATTGTAAAATGCGCTCTCTCTTTCCCCTTGGCAGGGGGGAAAAGGGCCCCCCCTCTATCTGATAGTCATTAGCATCAATTAGCCCCGTTTGAAGTAGGCAACATCTTTGTCTCTTTGCAAAAAAAGAAATAAAAAAACCTTTCAGGGAGCCCATAATAACATCTGGAGCAGGAGAGGCTGAACTCGAGTTCCCCACTTTCATCTCTTGTCGAGGGACTTGGAATGTTAATGCAGCCTCATTCTTTAATGGAGTTATCAGGAAATGCTTTTCACCTCCTTCCCTTTGCTCAGGGGGGATGTTTACAAAGGGCTGGGGGCTTTTTGGGGGGCTTTTTGGGTTGTTGTTTTGTTGTTGGGATTTTTTTTTTTACCCCTTCCCTAAGAAACTCCCCCTAAGAGATCCCCTTCCCTTCCTCTTTTATTTTCTACGCTCTTGAAAAACAAAACAGGAATAAAATATAATGAATAGGATAAAGCGAATAAAATAAAATAAATAAAATAACCCCCACCAGAACACCAAAGAGGATCAGATCCCTTCCTTTCACATCCCCTCTCTGGAGGGGCTGGGGTGTGTTGGAGCTGCTGCGGCAGGGGAGGTGGGGGGTCCCTGCCAGAGCCCCCCGCCCTGCCTGGCTGCTGGGTGCTACATTTCCCAAGTCATTAGCAGAGGGTGAAAATTTCCAGCTTTCCCACCAAAATGCATTAGCTGAGCACACAGCACTAATGGGAAACAGGACGGCTCGTTAGGCAGCGGCTGCGGCCGAGGGGGAGAGGCTGAAGGGAGAAGTCACCTGGGGTTTGG